CAATGGCTATACCAAGAATTTATTTTAGAACAGAAAATTGTGCACGTATTCGAGAATCTTAAGCATTTTTTATTGGGAAACGTTTTTAAGTATGACGGCGCATATCCATAACACAACGTTATTTTATGGCAAGCCTTTTTGCTATTTATTCAGAAAATAAAATTTATCTTAAAATTACAGAGACATCTCTAGTTTTTAAAGATATATCTCTATGAGAAAGAGATATCTCTTAAACTTAAAGAGAAATCTCTTATACTTGGAGAGATATCCCTATTTATAGGAGAGATATATCTTCAACTTGAAAAGATATCTCTTTCTCCTTGAATGATATCTCTTTCGTGAAAAGAGATATCTCTAAACGTTAAAGAGATATCTCTTTCACCTAAAGAGATACCTCTTTTACTTTAGAGATATCTTTCCAAGTTAAAGATATATCTCTTAAAGTTAAAGAGATATCTCTCTTAGTTTATCTTAAGAGATATCTCTTAGAGTGAAAGAGATATCTTTCAACGTGTCTAAAAGAGATATCTCTCAAGAAAAAAGAGATATCTCTCTTCATATTTTCCATTTAAAATGACTTCTCCCTTTTCCGGAAGTAAGCTTTTTATTGACGGAAGTACATTAAAGTATTTTTTAATTGGACATATTCATGATATTCTACATTATAGCTTTACTAACCATCACAATTAATTTAATGTTTTTCTAGATTTCAAATTAGAAATAATTTAATTGATTATTTCATAAGCTGAGAAAATTCGGTCCATTGCATTTGAGATTATATTCGCCTGAATATTAAACTTTTAACATTTTTTTTTATCAACGAAGTTGCCATTATTATTTGTTGTTTCAAGTAAGGGGTTTATAGCATTTTTGTCTACACAGTACATATATTATTCTGGGTAATTGCTTGCTTAGTCTTTTTTCTCTATTCCAGAGACTTTACTTCCTGTTTCGCTTTCGTTTTAAAGTGGAGAATTAATTATTAATTTGAAGCATCACTTGAAAAGAGATATCTCTTTCATTAAAAGATATATCTCTTTAGCTTATTAATTAAGATATCTCTTTTTGAAAATCTAAAGAGATATCTCTCTAACTAAGAAAAATATCTCTTTTAACCTTGTTAAAGAGATATCTCTCTAAGTAAAAGAGATATCTCTCTTACAAAAAGAGATATCTCTAAGGTATAAAGATATTTCTTTTAGTCAAAGAGATATCTCTATAAGCTAAAGAGGTATCTTTCTATGCTAGAGAGATATCTCTCTTATTGAGAGATTTTTTTTAATTTCACGAATAAATAGTAAAAGGGCTTGCCTTATTATTTAGATGCGGCGACTATCAAATTCAAGCATTGTATATAATTCTATAATCTTAAAAGTAGTATTTACCTTAAATTAAAATTTTCAGGTCTGATTTAAAATAAAAATAGCTTCCATTACTTATAATTTTGTTGTTGTACGTCGATTAGTAGCAATTTAAATGAAGCTGTGACATTACTTTTGGATTAACCCTCGTATAAACTACTTTTATTTGTTGTACGTAGAACATGCCCTTGCGTTACGAATCAAGTTGAAGACATAAACACTAAATGCAGAATATAATGGTATACTTAGTATTGCTACATAAGTAAGGAAAGCTGACGATAGAAAAATGAAAGTCTTCACGTTAATCAAAGAGTTTAAGTTATTGTTAGATCCCATACATACCCAAAGAAGTTCTTTGAAAGAGTGGAGCCTCATTTATCCGGATACTTTGGTTCCTAGTCAATTTGTCCAGACATGTGAAGCGTCCGGACAGCTGAATTACTTAAACAAGACAATATAACATTAGAACATTCTGTTCCGATGAAACATCGTCCGGATGCTGAAGCGTCCGGATATCTGAAGGTCCACTGTACTTCAAACTATGTTGTTAAAGATTGTCTTACAAAGCATATACATGTACAAATGTAACTAAGTTACAAATTTAGATCTATGTTCGAAATCAAGAAATGCGATATCAAAAGTGTTCTACAGACGTTTGAGTAAAGAAATGATTCCTTTGCAAAAAAAAAAAGGAAAGAAAAATTTCATCCTGAATTTAATCAAGCAGAAAATAAGACTTGGATTTATATCGTTTTCTTTTTTATCAATGAATTATCCGTTGCTTTTAAAAAAAAGTTATGACATAAATATCAGATCTTTTAAACAATGGGGAAAATTTGCATCATTCTCAAACGTTAGAACAGAAAATGCAAGTTACAAATTGGCTAATATCTTTGTTTTTGACAAAAGAGTGACACTATTATATTTCTCTTGCAGTGAATTGAATACGATGTTATAAAGATTTGGGTGAAAACTTAGTCTGATTTAGATATTAGATATATCTTAAAGAAGGATATGAAGATAACATACAGTATTCAATATCAAAATCTATAAAACAATACAAATTAGGAGCAGAGCAAACCTCCAAAACATCAGAGGTGGGATCAGGTGCCATGGAGGAGTGAGCATCCCCTGCTGACCGGTCACAACGTGTGCTCCTTGTCATGAACAGGGAATAACGGAAAAATCCGTCATAAATTCAGTGCATACATAATGAATTAACAATTAGTATGAAAACGTAAGTCAGTATTTGTCTCAATGATAAATTGTATTTACTGACAGGTCATTGTATCGACCATAGAATTTACGAAATGATGACTTTAAACGAGACTGTTGATATTCTTGTTTAATCAACTTGCTTGTTAATAATTTACCTTGTTTTAGAAATTGTTTATACGTGGAGAATGCTCTTGTATATCGAATCAACTGAGATATATACACTCCGTATGCAGGTGATGAAGGTATATTGCTGCTTAAGTAAGGGAAGTTGACGATAGAAAAGTTACTTAATTTCTGCTGTGATGCTAAACATGAATTATTAATAAGACAATGTCCAGATGTAATGTGATAACATTTTTAATATCCTGCTTTTAATTGGGTGTTTATCCATCAATTCTCAATGGACAGTGGAAATGGTATTACAAGGCTGCTATTCCACGACTTGTTAAACAAGTCTTGCTTAAATCTAGTACAGTCTGACGCCTGAAGATATTTATACCCCACGCAACTAGTTGCGTGGGGTATAATGTTTTTGACCCGTCCGTCAGAATGTCAAAGGGTCAGAGTGTCAGTCAGTCAGTCAGTCAGTCCTTTTTTCTGGTTAGCGCAACTCCTCATAAACCGCTGCACAGAATTTCGTCAAACTTTGCAGGTATTTAGAACACAATGTGTAGATGTGCATTTTACCAGGAAATTTCGATTCCATTATTTTTTCCGGGAATTTCCGCACTTTTTAACTTAGGCATTTGGCCATACCTTGAATACAGAGATGAACAGTTTGTCAGCGAAACTCCTCATAAACCGCTACATAGGATTTTAGAAAACTTTGCAGATAATTTAGACACAATGTGTACATGTGCATATTACCAGGAAATTCCGATTCCTTTATTTTTTCCGGGAATTTCCACATTTTATAACTTAGATTTTTGGCCATACCTTGAATATAGAGATGAACAGTTTGTCAGTGCAACTCCTCATAAACCGCTGCACAGAATTTCGTCAAACTTTGCAGGTATTTAGGACACAATGTGTAGATGTGCATATTACAGGGAAATTCCGATTCCTTTATTTTTTCTTAGAATTTCCACACTTTTCAACTTAGGTGTTTGGCCATACCTTTTATATAGGGATGAACAGATTGTCAGCGCAACTTCTCATAAACCGCTGCACAGAATTTCATCAAACTTTGCAGGTATTTAGGACACAATGTGTAGATGTGCATATTACCGGGAAATTCCGATTCCTTTATTTTTTCTAAGAATTTCCACACTTTTCAACTTAGATTTTTGGCCATACCTTGAATATAAAGATGAAGATTTTGTCAGGGCAACTCCTAATAAACCGCTGCACAGAATTTTGTCAAACTTTGGAGATATTTAGGACACAGTGTGCAGATGTGCATACCAGTAAATTCCGATTCCTTTATATTTCTGGGAATTTTGGCACTTTCCAAATTAGATTTTTGGCCATACCTTGAATATAAAGATGAACATTTTGTCAGTGCGACCCCTCATAAACCGCTGCACAGAATTTCGTCAGACTTGGCAGATATTTAGGACACAATGTGTAGATGTGCATTTTACCAGGACATTCCGAATCCTTTATTTTTCTGGGAATTTTGGCACTTTACAACTTAGATTTTTGGGGATATCTTGAATATAGTGATGAACAGTTTGTCAGCGCAACTCCTCATAAACCGCTGCACAGAATTTCATCAAACTTTGCAGATATTTAGGACACAATGTGTAGATGTGCATATTACCGGGAAATTACGATTCTTTTATTTTTTCCGGGATTTTTAGCACTTTGAGTTTTGGGGGAGCGTGGGGTATGTGAGCTTGCTCACTTTTTCTTTCATTCGTACAGGAATAAGCTTTGAAACTTAACTAGCGAAATCATCCTTTTTGATGTGTATTTAAACTGTACGCTTTCAGAAAAATACCAAAAAATAAATGTAGAATCATTTATAAAAAATGGGATAGAATGGTGAGTGATGGGTATTAACATTAGAATCTCTGTTATCTAAAACAACCCCAAACACAAATTGTTTAAGTATGCCCTGATTGATATTTGCCATTGACGAATGAATAATTTGTTTGTCTGTTTAAGATTATAATGTAACGTTTTCGGAAATGTATCCCTTGGTTGCTATCTATTCTGGTGTAAATTATTCCCTTGTATTCCAGAATTCAAAATACGATCATATTTTTTTCATTGGTATGTAAAGTTATGGAATTCACCCATTTTTAATAACATAAAAGATTATCAACATCATTCCAAAAGGATACCCGTATTTTATTAGATAATATCTTGATTTATTGATAATATTTTGATTCCACCTATTTGAATTCAATACGAAATCAAAGAAACATATTATTATTATTGTTGCGCATATATTAATGTTGCCCTGATAGATTACATATGCTTGGTGGAATAACCAAGGATGACCATGCAAGTGTGAAGGCACATGTATAGTTATTATGGTTATATCAAATCTCAGGAATTAAATAGCTTACATTTGAGACCAGAAATACAAGGTTTTTTATCTTAAAAATCTGGGTTCAAAATCATGATAGTTCATCTTAAAGCTATATCATTTTTCGCTGATTTTTACAATACAATAAGTACATTCCAACTCTGATTACATCAGTAAAAAAAGGTTTATGAGCATTTGTTTAAAACTACGCTGGTATGGTTTTGTTTACGATTATTTATTTGTTTGTACTTGTATATTGTTTCAGTGAGGGACTGTAAAATATCCGTGGAAGGTCTGGAATACAGAGGGAACATTTCAGTGACTGTTTCCGGTAAATCATGTCAGAGGTGGGATAGCCAGACTCCCCATCCCCATGGTTACGCCGAGGAACTTCCGGGGAACGCCAGTGAACATGAAAATTACTGCAGAAATCCAAAAACTTGGATGGCAGCTACCCCATGGTGCTATACAATGGACCCCGATACAAGATGGGAGCACTGTCATATTCCATTCTGTGGTAATAAATTACTGAAGTAATGATTTTATATTTTGAAAGATAATTATTAAGATAAGTGTTTTACTCGAAAAAGAAAATATATTTTGTGTTCAACAAATAACTTAAATATTATTTGTGATGTAATATAGAGGATCCAGATATACTACTGAGTATAATCGGACTAATTAAGGAAATATAGAGGATCCATATATACATGTACTATAATCAGGGAAATGAAGAGGAAACAATGATTTAAGGAACTTAATGGGTAGATACAAAACAATCACTGAACACTCAGAGACACGATTTGTTTGACCATTTATTTTCGTAACACAATGTTCTAAGCAGCTCCCATGCTCTTTTTTATTTTGTTTTTGAACAACGATGTTCTTATAAATCATTACTACATCAATTTCAATTGCACATGTTAAGCATACCCTGATTAAATATTCTTAAGGATATGAAAACATTATTTAAAGCTAGCCTCTTTGCAAGTTTGGCTTACCAGAAAATTGCAACATCCCCATGTGTTCTCAAAGTAAATATTTTTTATTCCTTCCGTATCATTAATAGTTTGCTTGATGGTTGTTTATAAGACACTAGAAGTTGTGTTTTGTTTCTGTGATGTTATTTATCGAACAAAGCTAATTAAATGATAAAATTTGGAGATAACAAACAAATAATTTAAATTTGTTTGTATTATAGCCTCTCATTGGTTGATTTCCAAAAATTAAGGCAAATTATTCTGTATAATCTGGTTTGGCATGGAGAAACACCCCTTGACAACCGGCTGAATAATTTGTATCCATGCAATCCCCTCATTTCAAGTCCTTGGAATCATGGATATTTCCAGATTTAATAAATGTACCTTAAACTTTAAGCAGTAGTTTGATCTTACCTCATGTAAACAAAAATCATGACTGCTAAGTCTATGAATCAATAATTAGTTAATCAGTTAAAAAAATAAGTTGTGAAATAACTATCAGATCTTTTCAAAAATGGGAAAAAGTTGCCTCATTCTCAACATTAAAACAACAGAAAATACAAGTTACAAATTGGTGACCGGTCAGCAGGGGATGCTCACTCCTCCATGGCACCTGATGCTACCTCTGATGGTTTGGAGGTCCGTGGTTGCTCTGCTCCTAATTTGTATTGTTTTATGGACTTTGAGATTGAGTGCCACACCTGCTGTGAATTTATTAATTACAGCAGGTGTGGCACGATAAAGATCCCTCCCTGCGCAAAGGCAGTAAGTGCCGAGCATAGGCCTAAATTTACAGCCCTTTACCGGCAATGGTGACGTCTCCATATCAGTGGAAAATTCTGGAGAGGGACGTTAAACAGTATACAAACAATCAATCTATTTTCAATGCATACTGTGACACGGGGCCTCGGTTTATACGGTCTCATCCATAGGACCGCCCCATTTAGTCGCCTTTTACGACAAGCAAGGGGGTATTGAGGACCTATTCTAACCCGGATCCCACGGGGCATTGAAAATAGATATCCATAATGAATCTGATTTAGATGTTAGATATCTCTTGAACGGTTTGCTTAATATCTGCTGTGACGCTAAACACGAATTAATAAGAGAATTCCAGATGTACCGCATATACGTTTTTTTTCGCGTGTTGGAAATTTTGCGAAAAAGGGGTAGATTAGTACAGTTTTTATTTTGCGTAAGTTATTTTTTACGATTAAAGGTTTTTTGTTTAAAATGGTAATGTTTTTATGTCACATTTTAGCTGATATAATTTCTGCGTGTTTTATATTTTGCGAATGAGAAATGGTCGCAAAAAATGCGAAAAATAGATCACTGCGAAAAAAAACGGATATACGGTAATATGATAACAAAATGACAAACATTAATATTTAATTTTTAGTGTCCTGCTTTTAATTGGGTGTTTTTCCATCAATTCTCAATGGGCAGTGGATATGGCATCACAGGTCTGCTATTACACGACTGGTTAAACAAGCCTTGATTAAATCTAGTACATTCTGACGTCTGAAGACATTTTGTTTAGGAGTAAGCTTTGAATCTTAACTAGCAAAATCATCCTTTTTAAAGTTTATTTAAACTGTACACTTTCAGAAAAATCCAAAAAAAAAATGAATACAGAATTATTTAGGGGAGACAGGGAACATGTTACATGACTAAAAAGACATATTACGTCATAATCGGTGATGGTCAGATAAACATGTTAAACGTTGTTTAAATCAACAGTTCTTGTGTAATATTATTCTAAATCCTAAAATTGTTTTTAAACATTTAATTTTAGAAATTATTATTCATAAATTTTTTAAAGATCTTGCCATCATTTAGATATTATGAAGTTGCCCAATCCACACATTTTTTCTCTTTACCCTGCAGTTTGACGTCAGTGACGTCATAGACGTAGTGTTTGAATTTTCAGTGCAGCGAGATCAAGTACACACATCCGTCATAATCTTTTATTTCATAATAAACAGGTCACAATCAATGTATCGTGATAAATTTCTGAAGCAGATTTTTTTAAATTAATATTTTTTCTTGTTAAGTAGCAGAGATTCTCTCTATTTAGATAATTTTGAATGTTTATGTTTTCGTGTGACGTCACAATGGATTTCCCGCACTCGGAAAATACAAACTTGAAGCGTTTTTATCATGCTTACGTCTAATTCAACGATGTCCTGTGCGATATTGAGTTAAGCTTCATTCTTTGATATTTATGCAGTAAATAATTACGATGAACATGATGAAGGACTGACATTTAATCGTAAATTTAGAAATATTTATTGACAGAATTTTTTCCATATGAGGTTTTTGTCGTTGAAGCTGCCTTGAAAAATGCAGAAATTATCCCACCCTAATACTGTATAAAATTAAAACAATTACTTTCAGATAATTAAAACCGTATGAATATTCTGAAATATTTGAGTATTCAGTATTATCCATAATATTTATCGTTTGTGCGTAAAAATTCGCATGATGGACTCCATTATGGGCCCGTAAACATGAAGTATCTAAACTCCATACAAACTCTACACAGGGTGGTATTTGTGGGGCGATATCTTTTAAATAAGTCAAGAAATCCCATGACAGGACCGTTTTAAAATGTTAAGTACATATTAAATTAGTAATATAAAAAATACGAAAAAAAAAATCATTGACAGGAATTTTTTCAAGATTCTGTTCCTCCTTAATAGAAAATGAGATAGAATGGTGAGTGATGAGTATTAACATCTAAATATCTGTTATCTAAAACAATGCCAAATACAAACTGTGTAAGTATGGCTTGATTGATATTTGTTTGTCTGTTTAGGATTATAATGTAACGTTTTTGGAAATTTATCCCTTGGTTGCTATCTATTCCGGTGTAAATTTTTCCATTGTATTCTAGGATTCAAGATACGCTCATACCTTTTTCATATTTATGTAAAGTTATGGACTTCACACATGTTTAAAACACATAAAAGTTAATATCATCATTCCAAACAGATACCCGTATTTTATTAGATAATATCTTGATTTATTGATAATATTTTGATTCCACCTATCTGAATTCAATACGAATCAAAAAAAAAAAAAATTACCAAATTGCTATATTGTTTGCACAAATATTAATGTTGCCTGATGGATAACATCTGCTTGGTAGAATGGCCTAGAATGACAATGCAAGAGTGCGGACATATGTATAGTTACTATGGTTATATCAAATTTCTGGGTTCACAGTCATTAGAATTCATTTTAAAGCTATGTCATTTTTCTGATTTTTTAAAAAAAAGAACATTCATTTCCACAATACAATAAGAACATTCCAATTCTGCATATCAGGGATTATGAGCTTTTGTTTAAAACTAAGCTGGTATGTTTTTGTTTACAATTATTTATTTGTTTCGTGGGTTCGTGTTTGCTCTGCTCTTATTTTGTATTGTTTTATTGACTTTGAGATTGAATACTGTTCGTTATCTCCATATCCTTCTTTGCACTTGTATATTGTTTCAGTGAGGGACTGCAAAATATCCGTGGAAGGTCTGGAATACAGAGGGAACATTTCAGTGACTGTTTCCGGTAAATCATGTCAGAGATGGGACAGCCAAACTCCCCATCCACATAGTTACGCCGCGCGACTTCCGGGGAACGCCAGTGAACACGAAAATTACTGCAGAAATCCAAAACCTGGAACGAGAGCTTCTCCATGGTGCTATACAATTGACCCAGATACAAGATGGGAGCGTTGTCATATTCCATTTTGTGGTAATGAATTACTCAAGTGTTGAATTTATATATTGAAAGATAACTATTGAGACAAGTGTTCTACTCAAAGAAAAAATATATTTTGTATTCAACAAATAAGTTTATTATTATCTGTGATGTAATATAGAGGATCAAAATATACAGTAATCGGAAGGAACTTGATTGGTAGACACAAAACAATCACTGAACACTCAGAGACACGATTTGTTTAACCATTTATTTTTGTTACATAATGTTCTAAGCAGCTCCCATGCGTTTTTTTAATCTTGTTTGTGAACAACGATGTTCTTATACATTATAACTACATCAATTTCAATTGCTCCTGTTAAGGATATCCGATCCTCAGCCAGGAAGGATAACTCCAAGAATTGATATATAATTTGACATATTTGAAATGCATGAAAATGAAGCATGGAAATGAAATTTGTTCATGCAACAACATCATTTCATTCACCTTTATAAGATTCAAGGTCTTTGGAAGTCTTGGAAAAGGTCTTATGAAAGTTTACATTTGTACCCTATAAAAGGAGAAAAAATTAATACAGTTAGAGAAATAAGATTTTCTTGAATCCAGCATTAGATACCAATGCTTTTAAGCATGATATGAAATGAGAAGTGATTTTGGTGTCTTGCAATGATAGCAAAATCCCTCTACACAATGTATTATAGATTACATGGCGGAAATAGAAGACAAAAAATACCAAATAAGTATAAAAATCAAGACAATTTTTGTTAATGCCGGTATAACTATCGTTTCTTCACCTAAAATAATTTTGTTGATCATTTAGCTTCTAGAAAATGTATTGCTGATAACTCAATTCGCTTTTCCTGCAAAAATATTGGAGATTGACCTTTTCCCCTATATAATAGGATGAACTTTAATCTTTAACTTTAAAGAAATACTGTGGATAAATTTACATAACTTTGTGATTACCTAACTTCTAATTTTATAAACCTGAGGATCGGACTACCTTAAGCATACCCTGTCTTTATTTTTTTTATTTTTTTTATTTTATTTTCTTTATTTTTTATCTATATTTTTAAAGATTTAAAAACATTGTTTAATACTAGCCTCTTTGCAAAATGTATTTTAAGTGTGTGTAAAAAAAAAATGCTTACCTAGAGGTTGAAAGGTGTCTGCACTCCACCTTTTTTATTTTCTATACCCCATAGAAATATAACCGAATTATCTTTTATTTAATACATCTTAATATTCATATGTATATAATAAGAAAAGAAACATTGAATTTCAAGTTATTTTGTATCAACATTTCAAGTGCTAGACTGTAGAATAACCAGAGAGGGGATGGAGTACAGAGGAAACAAATCTACTACTATTTCTGGAAAGACATGTCAAAGATGGGACCGACAGTGGCCATGGTCTCATAGTTACACCAACGTGTTGCTTGGTAACGCCAGCATGCACGAGAATTTCTGCAGAACCCCGCGGGCTAGGGAGAAAGTTGGGCCCTGGTGCTTCACCACGGACCGCTACAAGAAATGGGAGTACTGCGATATTCCTGTCTGTGGTAATAGATCCCATCCACATAATTCACATTGCAGTAAATTAACTTGGGTTGTGTTTGTAAAGCGTTAAAAATGTATAAGAAAACAATCTTTGAATGAATATTTTATTTATTTTATACAATGTAAATGCAATGTAAATTAGAAAATGTCAAACAATATTGATCTAATATAAACATTCCCTTTGATTAGAGCCCTGCATTGAGTTTTCCCCAGTTATTAAATAAATACATATGATACATAGTGACATTTCTATTATGTACATTGCTTAAATGTCTGTTTTGTAACGGCCAAGGCAGATCACTGCCTGTGAACCCCCGCCGGCCTGTACCCGTGGTAAAAAAAGGATAGCCCTGAGATGCTGCAAATATGAACAATGTGCAGTCGTAATCACTTGGCACTGCGTATGCAAGGTTTCTACTGGTAGCGAACAAGTGACACTGGCAGGGAAGTCCAGCGCACTTCAACAAGAGACAAGCGGGAATGACCACACACTTGACACTAAGACACGGTTCTAGACTAGAGACACAGGCAGCGATGCCCGCACACCAATGTTCTACCACAAGATGCAGGCAGGAATATCCTCACACCTGATGTTGCCCAGCAACAGCAAGGATATCCACACACTTGCTGTTATGAGATGCAAATTTCAGAGCAGGGATGACCAAAAACTCTAGCAAGTAAAAAGCAGGGATCACCACACTTTTATCACTAAACACAGTACAATATAAGCAGGGAAGTCCGCACACTTACATGTACACGCAAAGAATTTTCAAGTTTGACCTCTAAAGCCTCTCTAGTAAGATCGCCAGTAAAACCCTATATATCTTAATACGATATAAAATACTTGGTGATTATTTATTTACAAACTGATTAATATACTAATAAAGCTTTCAATCAACAAAATTTTATCATACGAACTAAAGAAACACACAAATGTACAAAGATTATTATTGATAACTTTAATTCAAATTCAACACTAATTAAGTAATTATTTTCAATGCATATAATAAGTAATTAATAACAAGGGCGATAACTTTCGTTACAATAAAAATATAAGAAAACAGCTTTCCTCTTCATCACCCCACCCCAGCTTTATGCATCCTTGGATAAGAAAATTTACAACGACATTTTTGAAAATCAAATAAAAACACAATTCTAATGCAAAAAATACTGTCATTGTATTTACCACTCTGAAAAATAAAATATAAATAATTTTACTGAACTGAATAGCAAAGACAATGCAACCTTTCACATTCACCATTACGCAAAACAAAATAAAATATTTTATTAAACCCAATGGTAAATAGAACCAATCAGGTTCGCTTGCTGGCCCAAGGTTCCTCTTGTAATACATAGTTTTCATGCCAGCGCAAAGGATGGCGCATATGCTTATCTCCAATTTCCTCTTCAGTAAGACTTAGGTTTTCATTCCCTCGGTTTTCATCTTTGACCACAAGCTCATTCTGTACTAGCAGCGTCTTCGTCTTTCTCATTCTCCCCAAACAGAACTTGTTGATTTTGCAGTCGAAGTCTGTTATCTTTCAAAGATATCTGCCAGTATCCCCAACATAAGTTCAGTGCTGAAAACCATGCATTTCCAGAGAGGCTGCCCAGCAAATCATCAATTCGCGGCAATGGGTGGTAGGCGTCTTTTATGGTCAGTCCATTCATTTTCCTGTAGTCAACACAGAAGCGAGTACTGCCATCCTTCTTTAGGACTAAGACAACACCTACTGCCCAGGGGCTAGAGGAGCGCTCTATAACTCCTTCTTCCAGCATATCATTTACATGCTTGTCTATTTCCTCGGCAGCATAGAAAGGGACACGTCGCAAAAGTTCCTTTGTGGGGTGAGCATTGCCAACATTAATTCCATGCTCAACCACGTTGGTAGTAATTAACTCAGAGGTAATGAGTGCAAACGCATGGGAGTACTGTCGCAAAAAGTCTCTCACTTTAGGTATCTGGTCCTCTGTCAGGTCGGTACTACTACTCCTTAATAAATCTTCAAGTTTTTCATGTAACACAGGATTATTCTTTGACTTTCTCTCTTCAGTAATACGCAGACGGATGACAATTCCGCTATGTGAGTGCATCTGTAAATGTTTGAACACAGTTTCGACTTTCTGGTTTTATGTTCAGCATTCGAATTGGAACAACTCTATCTGCTTTGACTAAGGTCCCCCCTTCAAGATTACCTGTCGACACGAACTTTTCATTTGGTTCCACCAAACCATTAACCATCGAAATGCTTTTGCCCTCCACCGCACACACTCTTCCTCTTGATTTGCTGGAATTTTCAGTGTTCAGCGCTGTGATGCGATACCATCCATAAGTTCTTTCTTTTATCAGTTGTATTTTTTCCCCTAATGCACATTTTCTTCTTTGCAACATCAATCAATTGTGCATCCATTTTCTTCCAGAAAATCAAGGCCCATTATTTCATAATGCTCAGTTCTGCAACCACACCATCCAGTTTGGACGAAAATCCCCTTATCTGTGTTGGAAAGGTTCCCTTACCGCTTATCTGGAGACAGTTGCCACCAGAATCCAGTATTGCACCTGAAAAACTCCTTGCGCATATGCCCTGGTTTTCGACAAAAGTAGCATATTTTCTGTGCCTCCAATGTTTGGTTTGCTTCTCCATGGTCGAATAGCTGTGAACTTTCACTGCACTGAGCTTTCATTTCTCTGAGTTTCTCTGAAAAGACTCAAACTTTGCACTTAATTTCTCAAGCATTGAGACAGTTCTTCCGTCAACGGATTCAACAGTAGTTGGGCGCGCATAGATCTTTTTATAGGCTCTTTTGTAATCTTCTAATTCGGCAGCCAATTAAATTATTATCATTAAGTCATTAAGATGTTTAGGACGTGCAGTTTTAATGCGGATGTGCATTTCCGAGTCGACCAATGCGTCCACAAATTTACACAGCGTTTCCCGAATCTCAGCTGAAGCAGTGGGGTAGTGTAAGTTGGCAAATCTGCGAATAGTCTATCCTAACTCTGAAAGAGATTTTCCAGCTATCTGGCGTCGCTCACGCATCTGCATCCTGTATAGCTACGTTTGACTCGGAGGTGCAAATCTGTCTTTTACAAGGCTTACAGGGATTTTACAAGTGTCTGATAAAGGGGCTTGTCCCTTTTGGCATGTTACCTAACACTCTTTGTGCACTCCCTCGAAGAGAAACTGCTAAACGCAATCCTTTCTGATAATATCTGTTTCCAATTATTTCTGCACATGCCTCGAAATGCGCATGATAATCCAACCAAGGTCAACTGCCATCATACGTTGCTGGCTTTATCATTTGTCTTGGTGTTGAAAACTCTTCTAGCGCGTCGTCTCCGCTATGAGGAATTGCAAATCGAACTCTGGGTCTCCTTCCTGTTACTCCAGGGAGAAGAGAACCTTGTGGAACGTCTTTGTAATGCTCTTCATGACCAAGTCTCATTCTAGATTTGTCGTTATGCGCCGCTTCTCTATCAAATCTTGTATGAAACTCTGGATGACGGTAATTGCAAGGTCTTGCTCCGGTTTCTCTAAACATGTCCCTGAGAGTTTGTCTTGCAGACTTTTCTTTAAGGGTAGGTGCGTGCTGGGCTAGCGCACCATCGTGCTCATGCGTTGCTGACGTTTCGCCAGTCTTCTGCAATTCTTTGGATATTCGAGACACGCCAACACCTGAGTCTTATACTTTGTCTTTAATACGCCGGCTCACTAGAGTCCACTACTTGATACTTCTGTTCCTAAGACTTTCTTCCCTCAGCTCCGCGAGCTTTTCTTCTATGAAAAATAGTTCTTTGTCCACGTCTTCCATCATCCAGGTATCTGAAGGTATCCCATCGCTGCCACCAAATTTTATGTTTATGTAACGTGCAAGGCAGGCCACAGCCTGTGAACCCATGCAGACCCGTATTCGTGATAATAACGGATAGCCCTGAGATGCTGCAAATATGAACAATACGCAGTCTTAATCACTTGGCACTGCGTATACAAGGTTTCTACTTGTAGCGAACAAGTGACAATGGCAGGGAAGTCCACATACCAGGGCACTTCCACAGGAGACAAGCAGGGATGACCGCACACTCGCCCTTGCGCAGCGACAAGCAGGGATGACCGCACACTTGACACTAAGACACGGTTCTAGGCTAGAGACACTGGCAGGGATGTCTGCACACCAATGCTCTACCACAAGATGCAGGCAGGGATGTCCACACACCTGATCTTGCGCAGCAACAAGCAGGGATGTCCTCACACTTGTTACTATTAGATGCTAATTACAGAGCAGGGATGACCACACACTCTATCAAGCAATAAGCAGGATCACAACACACTTATCACTTAACACAGTACAATATAAGCAGGGAAGTCCGCACACTTACATGTACACGCAAAGTTTTTCAAGTTTGACCTGTAAGGCCTCTCTTGTGAGATCGCCCGTAAAAACCCTATATATCTTAATACCGTATAAAATACTTAGTGATTACTAGTATCTATTTACAAACTAATTAAATATACTTACCAAGTTTCCAATCAAAATTTTTTTTATCAATCCCACTAAAGAAACATACAATGATTATTATCTATAACTTCAATTCTAATTAAACACTAAAAATATTTATTTTCAATGCATATAATAAGTAATTAATATAGACAAGGGCTATAACTTTCGCTATAATAAAGAATAAAAAAAGCTTTCCGCTTCAGTTTCTCGGCACTGATATAAACATTTTAAAAAAGTGGATTTTAATTGTAATTAAGAAATATGGAAAATGGCATAATTTTTACCTTGTCAATAATATGGTATTAAGTTGAATCCTCATTAATTAGCCATTTTTTTTCATAAAAATCTGGGAATATGTTCGGTATTTAAAAAACCTCTTTCATACAGACAGACATTCTTTATTTCCTCTGCAGCAGAGATCAATGCATCGAACTATCAAGTATGTAACAAGATTTGAACTTTAGAATAAATATGTGGAAATATGTACACAAGTCACTGTCCATAATTTAAACATTATGTACATAATTTATCAATTTTGAAGTTTTATACTTCAAGTAAGTGAGCGTTCATTTCTGACATCATACGCGCAACACCAGTTGCAACAGCAAGCATAAACATTTCCCACTCCTCCTCAGATAAAAAAGAACCACGTCTTGATCCAAGAATGGTGTCAGCAATTATCGTCACAATTATTTGTGAGATTAACGTAATATTGGACATTTATCGCGTTCACTATTTTGTCCATCAAGCTATCTCTGCTAGCAAGGATACGCGTGCACAGTTTGCAGTTCACCTCCTCTTTAATGATGTCGACTGAGAGTCTAATTACTGAAGCTAGTTTTCATGTGTGTTTCGGAAAATTTCAAACCGGGTAGCCAAAAGGGATGAGTTGATAATTTATCATGTATTTCTGTGTATCTGCGAAGCACTTTTCTTTGATTCAAATTCTCCCTTCACTCATGTTCAGCAGCAGTATCAACTACAGTTCCTACGAATTACTTCCAGGTGTATTTTGGAGAAACGTCACGATTCAAAAGGTACTCTCCGAAAAAGAAATCGAAGCTGTATTCGCTCATTATGGAGTGAATATCTGCTAGGAATCCACGTTTCGGTCTTGGTGTCGCCGAACCAAAGGAGTACAACGTTGCAATGAAAAGCTTTTTGTAGAATAGGGAATAACTTGATGTACAAAGTCTGTTCCAGAACATCAACTTGATTTTATCTACACTTCTTTTCATTTCAACCAGGCCAAAAGGAAAAAAATAGTACACGGTGTTGGTTTTCTTTCGTCAAATCCTTGCATTAGTGACGGGCCGAAAACGTATTCAAAAATGTTATATTAACAATATCACAGCCCTTCGATCGACTTTTTGGAGATCACATCCTATAAATCGCATCCATACAAGATCGATGGCATGACAACTGTTTTCCATAGTTTTACGCTGTTCATGGAATGTATACCGTGATCATGAACTTCTATATTGATAAGCGAGTTTAATATGCGCTTTCCCTTCCTGTATGCTTGTGTGATTGCTGTATCACTTCCTACCTATCAGATAGAACGACCCCAGTATAAACATTCTCTGAGTGTAGGTTGATGTTTTCCTGACCAAGAATAAATGGTCTAGCAGCAGGTTGCTTTTGTCGCTTTCTACTAGAGCTAAAGAAGAAAACACAACTTTTCTCAGGATCATAAACCAAGTGCCAACGTCTAGTGTAATTGTAGACAATATCTAGTTGTTTCTGAAGATCACTGGGAGTGTTGGATATAAGGGAAGTGTCGTCAGCCAGAATAACACTAGGAATATGAATGGTAACAAACACATGCTCCAGTGGCACTTTTATCCAGTATTTCTATCAATTCGTCAATCATCAGAAGCAAAAACCATGACGATACTACCCTTCCTTGTCCGATACCTTGCTGTTAAGTGAATTCATTCGACAGGTCTTTTTCTTTTAAGATTCGAGAGCTGGATCTACAAAAAAAGAGTCGGAAAGCAAGCGCCACCCTTTACCATTGATACCTAACTTGTACAGTTTGTAGAGCAAACCAATATGCCACATGCTGTTAAATGTCTTTGGTTGTCTAGAAATGCCACATAAATATCAGCTAGAGTCTCTTTCTAAATAATGGTGAATTGTTTCCGTTATAACAAATCCTGCCGGTTTTTTCCACATCCTGGACGGAAACCCTGCTGAAGAGAGTGTGGGAAGTGGATTTCAGCGTTGATACGTTTTATTCTTGATTATAATATGTCATGACATTATAAGTGTTATAAACAAATACACAAAGCACACTTCTAATATATGACTCATGCAACTATTCATCACTATGCCTATAGTTACGCTCGCGTTCAGTTTGCCAAGGCCTCACTAGTATGCCTTCTGGCCAAAACCCGTGTTCCAGAGCCTTATCAGAATCCTCTGAGCGCACATTCACCCGTAGAGTGTATAAATGTTTTCGTTGCTTCCAAAGCTTTAGTGCAGTAACTTGTGTTACACATACGTTTTGCTCCGTAGCGTACCGTTTGATGGCATCAACTATGTCGTCCAGCTCTCCATCTGCTTCGACACGTGACATCAGAAGTCTCTTTATTTGTGGACCTGACTTCACACCGCGAAATACATACCATCAGGTTCTTGTGTCGAATCCTTTTCTGTTGTATCAATATTAATAGTGCGATTTGTTTGCACGACTTCATTGGTGTCTAATGTCTTCCGCATTTTCCTGAGGATCGTTTATGACAGAAATGTTCTTTCATAGTTTCAATGTCTTTTTCTCTTTGGGCGATAACTGAATTAAATTAAAAATTACAGAAAACAGTTTTTAGTTTTTATTTTTAGATGTTACTATAATTGGAAGTATCATGCTAATGTCAATTAAGATAAAACGATATGTACATTATTCATACAACAAATATATCAGCGATTTTGTTATTTTATGTTTATAAAATAAGAGAATCCCCATTGTTCTGAAAAAAAAAACTTCTTGAAACAAGACTAAAAAAAAACAACTTCCTTAAAAAATTTCTTGAATAAAAAGAATCAATATTATAAGTATAATACATACAATATTGATTTTTTTTTATTTAAGAAATTTTTCGCGTAATTGAATACTGTATTCATGTAGTCTAATTACTATTATCATATCTTGATTCTCTTTAATTCTTAATAGAATGTAGAGACACGATTAAAGGAGAAGAATACACAGGCACCATCTCCCATGCCGAAAGTGGCCGTGAATGTGTTAGATGGGACAGCCTCCGTAATCAACGACTTTTCTTGTTTCTGTTGGGAAGGTTGTTTTTGCATGAGAATTATTGCAGGAACCTTAATAATCGCGAAGAACCTTGGTGTTATACAGATCCATACGTAAATAAGTTTGGAGCTCGAGAAAATTGCAACATACCCATGTGTTCTCAAAGTAAGTACATGATAATATATAGAGATACATAACAAACAATAATTTAATTTTGTTAGTATTCTAGCCTCTCAGTGGTTGATTTCCAATAAGGAACGCAAATTATTCTGTATGAAAATACAAATACAAATATTTATTGGCACAAACACAATTACAATAATTGGCAAAGGCATATCATTAATTGTTCATTATATTTAAACAATAATCTGTTGTAGAATGTGAGGCTATACATAATCATAGCTAAATTGTACATCATCTGTAAAATAATTATGTTATGCATTCATTTCTAGATGTAATACTTTTTAAAATAAATATATACTCTGATTTGGCATGGAGACATCCCCCCGGCTGAATCATTTGTATCCATGCAATCCCCTCATTTCCAATCCTCGGGATCGTGGAAATTTCCAGATTTAATAATTGCACCTTTAACTTCAAACAGTAGCTTGATCTTGTTAGCAACATCATGGCTGCTAACTGTATGAATCAGTTATTATCTCCCCTCGCTTCTAATCACTTCCGTTACCAAGGTTGTATTTTTGAGCGGCTAATTCGAACCCATAAAAAGCAACATAATTTTACATCCATGCTTGCTTAATCATTTTTAAATTAAATTATAAGAAATTACTTTAATTCTTGGCAAAATTATTCGAGTATAACTTGGTTTAGGTCGTTTACGCTTTTGTATAATCCGCTCCGCAGATTATAAAGCGTAAACTGACCCAAATCAGGTTATATCGAATAATCTGGCCAAGAATTGGTGACATTCCTTAAATAATCAAGGTTAGACGTCCATTGAAGCATCATGAATCGAATTCAGAGCAAACACGGACATCTTAAACACATTAGAGTTGGGATCAGGTGCCATAACATACGAGTTGTTTAAGAGGAAATGCAGTTTATGCAGGTGATGCTGGCGCTTTTTAAACAGCAATTTTAATTTTCAATTTGAAAATTTACATTTTAAATTCGCCCTTTAGGTAACAAAGAGTGTTTAGACAGCACCAAAGGTCAATATTACTTTGGAACTGTCTCTAAAACCGGAGATGGGATAGAATGTCAACGCTGGGACAAATTACAACCACACAATCACAGCTTTGTGTATGGCTTCATGGGACTCTCCGCCTCTGAACACGAGAATTACTGCAGAAATCCCGACAACGAGGAGAGACCGTGGTGTTACACAGTAAACGACACAGTCCGCTGGTCGTACTGTGATATTCCGCTATGTAATGAAAGTAAGCACAATCTGTATTCCAGAATCCTTATTTTGACTTTAGTCCAATACTTAAATCCATGGACGATTTTCAGAGTTTCGAGGGAAAATTAAAATAAATTAATTTATCAGCGAAAAATTGCCAAATGCACCAATTAAACTACGCTTTTCAATTCAATTAAGAAATAAATTAAACAGTTGAAATACAGAAAGAACGCTAAATAATTCGATGGAATTGTAATCTTTTTAAAAAAATCTATAGAGGACTGTAAGGAAACAGAGAGAGGTATGGAATATCAAGGAGAACAAAGCATCACTCGGGGGGGTATAGCCTGTCAGCGCTGGGACAGAACCTACCCCCATGTTCCTGACGACAGGATCAGTTTCCCGGGCTCTACTCTATCGCGCCAGGAGAACTACTGTAGAAACCCTACCGGTGAACCCCTCCCCTGGTGCTACACCGTGAGTCGTGACGTACGCTGGCAGACCTGTGATATTCCCTTCTGTTTTAACGGTGAGTATAATAATGTACGATAAGTCAAGGCAAATGTGTACTGTTAACCAATTTTTATTCGCGTGCGAGAAATATTTGCGAGTTTTGCGACCTATTTTTAACTCACGAAATGTATCGCCGTGAACCATATTTATATTTGCTTTATATTCGTAGAAAATGCTTTCTAACCTGCATAAATTGATCTTCTTGGATGAATTTAAAACTGATAAATTACGAATAAGTATGACGCAAATAATAGTTGGTTTACAGTAAATAACTTACAGTTAAAGGTATTGTGTGGAGACTATGCTTCTTACATTGTGTAGATAAAAGAGGTTTGAATAGACGATCATGTATGATTGTACATACGTATGACAATAACAGATACAAGGTTTTATCTCATTTTAGTTGTTCATTAGAAGGAAAATAAATTTCACGACAATCGAATGTCAAGATCATAAACTGAAAAAAGAATTTAAGATATAATAAAATGAATTTTTTCCAAAGTAAATCGAGATTTAGATTGTTGTTCCAATTGGAGCAGTAATGCATTTTTTTATCAGTTAAGTAAATCAGCCATCTTTACTTTTATTTTATAGCTTCCTTTCAGTGTGATTTTTCGGGAGGAATGTGTGGTCTAGAACAACCGAGTGATACTGGGATGACTTGGCTTTTGAACAAGAATGGTATGTAAAGTTAAACGTTTTAAACAAAAAAAAAACATTAATAGAATCGTGACCTATCTTTAAAAATAACTATAATGAATACAAATTTGTGAACAGGAAATATAAAAACGGATCTCTAGAATTCCAAATGTGGCGTCAAGGATTAAGTATCCATTGTGTGGTCACATCCGCCGTAAACCCTATCTATATCAATTATTCTGTGCTCAAATTTTGTACAAATACAACTTTAGAATTAGGCAGTTAAACTACTTTTAAGGTAGTGATTTTAAATGGACAGTGTTTAAATCACTCTTGTTTCTGACTAAGATAGTGAAAAGTGGAGTGGTGGTCGTACAAGTACTTAGAATACCTTGAAATTACATGAATTTAGATTTACTAATGTTATCTAGTAAATCGCCATTCCCAGGTAAAACTAACTACTTTTAAGGTAGTGATTGTATGGACAGTAAATTTACTAGTCTTCCCAGTGACTTTCACTAATTTTTTTTTTTCAGTGCAAAGTCTTACATTAGGCAGGAAAATCTTCAGTCAAAATACTTCCACATACATGTATTTTAAATGAGGTTGTTTTAATCCCTTTAACATTAACTTAACTGACAGTAGCCTGTTTAGTTTAAAAAGTGGTTGTACATGTACTCAGAGAAAGTTCTTGATTACAAGTTTCGAATAAGTTGGGATATGTGAGCGCCATATGCAGGTAATGACGGAATGTTACTACATAAAAAAGAAAGGTTGGCGACTGATTAATATCGCTTATCATACAATTTATTTGTTTCTTCTCCTCTCATTTAGACGTTTATGAATAAATTCTGCTTTAAAAGAATATTTAAACAAATCGGATCTCCAAATATTTCAATCAGCAATAGCGCACAGTAAGTGCCCATCGGATTTTCTGCAGTTTGATGGAAGGTATGGTCTCAAAAGACTTTTAAAGATGTTATTGAGGAAATCTAGCATCGATTTCAAGACATCAAGGCATTTTTGCATAGAATCATTGATTTAAAATAAACTTATTGTACTGTTAATCAGTTACAACTTTTATATCATTGATATATATCGTTGGAAGATTCTTTATTACAACTTACAAATGAAAAAACCTCATTATTTTCGGGTTTATTTTCTACAATTAATAGATTAACCACCTGGGTGGATAAAAAGAAAAGAAAGAAAAAAGTGATCTTGTTCCAGTCCTATTTTTAAAATAGTACATTTTTCTTCAGCAATATAAGCTTTCGTTTTTGTTAATTTACAATTTGAAAAGCTCGTAAAAACGGTCCTTAACTTCCGTTATTCATACCTGTATTTGAAATAATTATGTAGAGGCTTCGAAAGAAACAAAAGTACAATATTGTCTTCTTCTTAAACTCAAAGTACACAGAGATACAGAGAAGTTAAAATTACAAACAAATTTGCCATTTATTAGTATTTTTCTTCAAATTCAATATCGTTCATCTTCATGGGAATATTGCTTTTTAATTTGTGTTTGAAAAATAATTTAAGAAATGACAACATTGAGCATAAAAATATTTCAATGATGCACTTCTTTTTTCAGAACAATCTTTACGTTTCCGTCCTCCAAAAAATGCGTCTAATTTGCAGTTATTTAATTCCACCTTGACATCACCTCTCTTGCGCTCTACGAGAACGGCAGCCTGTTTGCTGCTGACCTATCGCAGTGATGGTATAGAGCTAGTCCTGACGACGTCCACACAAAATCTGACAAAATTAAAAGAAAGCTCTCAGTTTAGAACAGTTAAAGTCAACATACATCCTCAGCCAGATAACTACAAGGTCTGACACAATCTCTTTTATTTTCTTTTTCTTCTAGTGCTTTTAATAGATGTCTTTATAGATAGTTGTTTCGTTTCTGAAGGTATTTATTTCGCCACACATCGCTGCATCTTCACTAGCTGGGTCATCAACAGAAGCAGCTATTAGATTTATGAAGATTGAAAACGAGCCATGTACAGGTACTCCAGTAAATACTTAGAACAAATTCAAACTTGAAATATTTTAAATAAATAATTTACAAATTGATGATTTTCTTTAATATTCTTGTTTGTGAAGATTGCTTTTCCTGCCTCGATGACAGATTATGTATTAGGGAAGGATTTTGTGATATGGTACCAGATTGTCCTGACAACAGTGACGAAAAAAATTGTGGTGAGCACATTTTATAGATTCTTTTGTTCAGATTTATTGTGGAGAGAAAAAAATTAATCTTCCATTTTTACAGCTTTAGAGTGCTACCACGAAAATGAGTACAAAGGATTTCGTACAGAGACAAAGTACCTTCACCAATGCATAGCAGCAACAGAATTGGGAAGAACTTGTAGGTTTGACTTGTTAAGCAAAAGAGCGCCGGGTTGTTTTGTCGACTCCGAATTTAAATGGGAGGAATGTAATGTCCCAAAATGTGGTGAGAATCGTTATACAATTTTTTTTTTCTTACATATCTATACAGAATTTAATTTAGAAGTATTGCGTTACTTTGGATAACCGAGTAAAAGACTGCTTCAATAAACTAATAGATACCCGAATTGAGATGCTGCTCTTACATTCTAGTTCTTTTGTTCACATAGATATTCCTTTTCTGGATTATAAAACATTATTCCTGATGAATAAAATATTAAAAAATATTTACAATTAAATGTTTTTTTTATTATTTTTTGCAGACACAGGGAATTTAATTTGTGACTTTGAACAAGATTTGTGTGACTGGCAACAAATGAAAAGCGGAACGAAATGGAACCGTCAAATAGCTGAAAACACTGGTAAAATATTAGTATGCCTCGATAACATCTAAAACAGCCAATTTTTCACGGCCTTTCATGAATAGTCTTAATGTGAAATATCCCTTGAGAATTATACCATGATGACTGTTATATTCATTGGTCAACTTTAATCATGTTTTAAATGTATATTCCCTTATTACAATATACTTTTGCTAATTACAGGAGAAATGTTTGCCTCTGCTGAAAAGAAACAAGGTTTGAGTGGAAGTACGGAGGAGAGGGCCGTTTTATTCAGCAAACCACAGCCTTCATCGTTTGGGTGTATAACAATGACGTTTTCTGGAGAAAATGTCAATTTAAATGTTTATATAACACACGGCACAATGCTTACCTCGGATAGGATGATTTTTCAGCGACAAAATGTAAATTCGAACCTTTTTGCCACAACAAGCTTTCAAACACCTATCGACAAACCTTATATGGTAAGGGAATTGACAGAATCTCTAAGGTTTGTGGACTTGGGAGTTATGAATCTAGTATCTTTTAAACTAACCCATAAAAGGATCAAGAAAGATTTCTGATTGTATTTTGTCCCTCATTTATCTGTTGTCGCCTATTAACTTTTAACTTTAAAAAAAGACGACCCAGGTGAGCGTTGTAGTATCGTTAGTCATTTAGTTTCTCTATATAAAAGTTTCATTTTTAGGTAACAATTGTTGCAACATTCCAAGCTAATGTAACTGGTATTATACGACTTGGAAAAATCAGTTACGAAGACGGAATTTGTAAAGGTAAATACATTAATTTTTAAGAGAAAAAGTTTAAATAGTAAGTTCTTTTTGAAAATTGTAATTGAGTGATTATTATCTTTTTGACTTTAAAACTGATAATTTTTTTAGATAAGGCTCCTTGTTACAAAACACAGTATCAATGCGACGACGGAAGATGTATTAACGCTGACCAGTTCTGCAACAAGAAAAATGATTGTCCAAACAACGAAGACGAAAATGTGTGCAATTACAACAGTACCCAATGCGTGCAAATGGAAAAGGGTTGTGTCCTACCTTGCCCCGACCAGTGTGATTGTGAAGGAGTAGTTTTTAGGTGTCAATATCCGGCAAATGTGACGAGAGAGGTCAGGGTACTTGATCTCAGTTCAAGCGATTTCAACACCACGGAATTAAAAGATTTCAATTACCTTTTGCATTTGAATTTATCTGGGTGTTCTATAGAAGATTCGTCCCTTCAGGACCTAGGAAAACAATTACAATCTCCCAGTCTTCAAACTTTAGATATCTCATTTAATGGAATACGAAATTTGCAACAGGGTACCTTTGAGGAACTTTCAAACACATTATATCTTAATGTTTCACATAATCAAATCACCGAACTACATATGGACTTCCTTGGAGTACTTCCAGAGTTACGGCATTTGATTCTTAGAAATAGCGAAATAGTGATGATTCATTCGAACGAAATCTATAGTAAGTTCAATTCTAGCCTCGAGTTGCTAGATTTGAGAAACAATAAAATAAAAACAATTTTTCCAAAAGCACTGCACTGGCTAAGTTCCTTATCAAAATTATTATTGAGCAACAACTCCATCACAAATACTGATGACTATTTCTCAAGATCAATGAAAATGCTGGTTGAAGTAGACCTGAGTTTTAATTCTATTAGCAATATCACAGATAACATGTTTTCTGGTTTGAGGAGACTGGGATACCTTAATTTACAAAACAACCAGATACAAGTTTTAAATGATTTTTCGTTTTCTACACTGGCATCTTTACAAACACTTAATCTTGCTTTCAATAAAATCCACACAATTAACAAAATGGCTTTTGAGAACATGGTATCACTCACCAAATTGAACCTCACAGGAAACCAGTTAAGAACACTCTCTCCTGCAAGATTCGTCGCTTTGGTTAAACTTCAGATATTGGATTTATCAGATAATGACATGACTGTATTGGAAAGTAATGCCTTTAAAAGACTAGAAGAAGTTAAATATCTATATATTAACAAAAACAATTTACAAGTGTCCCGAACTATGTTTCAGGGTCTTTGTAACCTTGAATGGATATGGACAGATTCTTATATCATTTGTTGTGCCAAACCACTGTCTGTTAAAGCATCAAAATGTATTTCTCCGCGAGACCGAATCTCGACCTGCGAGCAGTTGATCAGTGTTGGGTTTTTGGCCCAGATGATTTGGTACGTGGCCCTTTTCTCCTTCATCGGGAACCTTTATGTCATATATTACCGCATCAGAAATACCAGCAAAGGATGGAATAATGCACATGGAATCTTTGTTTTAAACCTAAGTTTTTCCGATTTATTAATGGGAATTTACTTGTTCATTATTGCAGTGGCAGACATGAAATACCGTAATGAGTATGGTTTTAACGATAGTCAGTGGAGATCGAGTACAACCTGTACCGTGGCTGGCTTACTTGCAACAGTTTCCTGTGAAGCATCAGTGCTTTTCGTATCTTTAATAACTTTGGAACGATTTCTAGCCTTAAAATATCCATTTTCTACCGAATTCCTGAGAAAGAAGAAACAGAAATTCGTTATTTCAGTGATAGTATGGCTTATGACTATCTTTTTAGCAGCGTTTCCTATCTCGGTTTACCCAGACTTCTATAGCAGATCTACAGTTTGTATCTCTCTTCCGTTAACAGCTGAGAGGGTAGCTGGATGGGAATATGCGACCTTTGTTTTTATAGGGTTTAACTTAATGATATTCATTGCTGTAGTGGTTGGCCAGAGTTTGATTTTTGTCGAGGTGAAGGTCAGCGGAAGTGCCTTACAAAAAGACAACCGGAAGCGAGAAATGGCAGTGTTAAAATCCCTCTCTTATGTCGTCCTGTCGGACATGTGCTGCTGGATCCCTATTATATTGATTGGTGAGAATTTCTTAAATAAAGATGTTCAGACTTTCACTTTGGAAAATAAATATACTCTTTCGAAAATACCTTCAACATGCAAATGCTTAAAGTCATATTCACATAGAAGCTTGTAATATTGTGTAAAAGTGTGAGTACGTAGTCAAGATTTATAAATGGAAGTGTGTATGAAAAGATAACCCAACCACCTATGATAGGAATTGTGTGTTCATTGAATTTAACTTATTTTTGTTTTCAGGAATCATGGCGCACGGCGGGATGGAGATTTCGTTCGATGTTTATGCCTGGGTAGTTGTTCTGGTGCTGCCACTTAATTCAGCATTGAATCCATTCATTTACACGTTTATTGTGATCTACAGACAGGTTAGTTCATTAGCAAATTGTTTGTCTTACATCACCATTTTCCCCCATTTTTAAAATGTTACTTTCATTTTGTTTAAATCTTTTCATACAGATAAGGGAATCACAAAGGAGCCAAAATATCTCCATGGATGATAGAAAAACTGGACGATCCCCCAGCAGGAACCCGACATCAGTTTCGGAAAGGAAAATTTAATATCGTTTTTATCTGAAAATAATAGACACAAAGATGTATCATTTAAATGAACTTATATGTTGCAATAAAATGGCTCCCCCTACGTATTCAATACTAGTACTCATTTTCATGATCAAAAAAGGCTGTTTGATATTATAGAGAACTGTTTCTAAAAATAATGGAACCCAGAAATGTTTGTTTCATCTTTATTGTGATTCATCAACAAATACCCCTATTTCTACAATAAAGTACTCAGGAGTTGAAATATGGCGTTCCCTTTTGACAAAATTGATGTCGTTTTCCATGACCAAACTTTCCATTGTAATTTATTCAAAATCTTCTACACGAGGAAACAAAAAATTAACTTGTTTGGACTTGCCATTGATTTGAGCAATTGATATTAAACTCTTTTGACCATATAGCTTCCATAATCGGCTTTTGAGACTTTTGTTGTAATAAAATTTTGTAGAAAAACTTTTGATGTGTTGTCTTCAATATTTTCTCTTTTTACTATGAAATTTAAAGGAAAATGAATTCCATGTGAATTTTTTCGTTGTATGTCGTTGTTGTTATTGTCGTCGTCGTTGCCGTAAACTTTTTACATTTTCATCTTTTTCTCAAAAACCGCTGATCCAAACTTGCTACAAAGTATCCTTGGGTAAAGGGGATTCAAGTTTGTTCAATTGAAGGGTCAAGCCCTTTTCCAAGGAGAGATAATTATAAAATAGAGAAAAATTAATGTCATTTAAAAAAACACTTCTTAACAACCACTGGACCAAGAAAGATGAAACATGTGGAATCATCCTAAGGGTAGTATAGATTTAAGTTTGTTCAAATCATGACCCCTAGGAGTAAGGTGGAGCCACAATGGTCGATCAAAGTTTAATAGGAGTACATAGAATATACCTTAAAAAATCTTCTTCTCAAGAACCACTGGGCCAGGAAAGATGAAACTCGTGTGTGAAATCATTTTCAGGTAGTATAGATTCAAGTTTGTTCAAATCATGACCCCCGGGGGTAGGTGTGGCCGAATTGGCCTAAAAAAGTTTAACGTAGGAATGTATAGGAAAAATATTTAAAATCAAATCTTCTTCTCAAGAACCACTGTGCCACGAAATAAAAAAAAAACTCGTGTTAAATTATCCTCTGGTAGTGTAGATTCAAGTTTGTTAAAATCATGACCCCCAGGGGTCGGGTTCGGCCAAAATGGCTGATCAAAGTTTTACATAGGAATATATATAGGGAAAATTTTAAAATCTTCTTTTCAAGTACTTCAAAGCCATGATGAGTGATATATATATATGGAATCATCCTCAGGTAGTGTAGATTCTAGTGTGTTCAAGTCATGACCCCCGGGGGTAGGGTGGGGCCACAATGGCTGATCAAAATTTTGCATTAGAATATACCGAAATAGAAAAAATCTTAAAAATTCAATCTTCTTCTCAAGAACCACTGGGCCAGGAGAGATGAAACTCATGTGAAATTATCCTCAGGTAGTGTAAATTCAAATTTGTTCAAAACATAACCCCCAGGGATAGGGTGAGGCCACAATATTGGGGATCCAACTTTTACATTAAAATATATTTTAAAACTTCTCAAGAATAGCAAAGCCATTATTAGTGATACTAATATTTATATGCAAGCATTCCCAGGTAGTGTAGAATTAAATTCGTTCAAATCATAACCCCCAAGGGTAGGATGGGACCACAATGGTGGATCAAAGTTTTACATAGAAAAAAATAGGGGAAAATTCCAGGAACATAAAAGCTATGTTTGTTTTGAAGATTTTTTTTTTCAACTCATTGCCCTTTGGGGTAGGGAGGGAAAAAATGGGTAATCAGATTCAAATTTTTACGATGTAATATATAAGAACAAAATGTTTAAAATGTTTTATCAAGAACAGCAAAGTAATATGCTGTATTGATATGAAGGCATTCTCAAATAGTATTAAAATTCAAAGCCCACCCCCCCCCCCCCCCACACACACACACCTCAGTGAACTTTCAGTTCTGATCTGATATGTGCTTTTTCCTAGCCGATGTGCTCAGTTGAGCGATGTGGCCCCTGGGCCTCTTGTTGAGTTTTATAAAATAATGTAACAATATGCTATCACCAAGACAGAAAATACTAGTACGTATTTTTTCTGAATTTCTGTGAGAGATTTGAGTCCGTTTTCATCAAAAATATCTTTTACATATTTATAACCACTTTCGATCCAATTTTTAAAATAAAAAATTTTTTCCATTATATTTCAAATCCAAGTTAAACCATATATTTTCACGCAAATGTTTGTTCAAGGCGTTTATTTTATTTTGTGCTTTAAACTGATTAAACGCACAAAGAACTTCCTTCTACAAGCGAAACAACTTATGGATTATGTTCAAGTCTGCAATATCAGTAAAATTTGATCGTACAAGGTAGGGTAAATTAAGTCCGTATTGCACTAAACATGCATTTAAAATATCTTTCAAACTTCTTTCAGTATTGATAATTTTGAAAATCAATGCCGCTTTTGATGTCTTTATTTTTGTTTCAAAAACAATCATTCCTATTCTTCCATTATTAACTTAGCGAATGGGTGTTTTTCGTTTAATGCGTTCACGATTTCCCCAAATAAAAGAAAATATCAATCTGTTCAGTTCTTAGCTCACCTTAGCCAAAGGCTTAAGTGAGCTTTTCTGATCAAAATTGTCTGTTGTTTGTCGTCGTTGTCGTCGTAAACTTTTCACATCTTCTTCTCCAGAACATCTGGGCCAACCAAACTTGCCACAAAGTACGAGGGACGTTCAATAAATAATGTCGTCAGGGCTCGGAAAGAAACAAAAGACGCTTTTCAATGATTAAGTCTTCATGATTTTACTTACTAGTCTCTTTTGATTAAAAAAGATGTCCGTAATTTTTTTTTTCTCTAATTTCTGATTGTATTTAGAACTCATTTTTGGGTATGACCCTTAGTATACTGGAAAATGGCAGATTAAATGATTTCCTGGATTTGTTTCTTCTTTCTGAAAGGTGGTTTTTCAAGTTTGGAAATAGAAACAAGTCAAAAGGTCAAAGATCTGGCGAATATTGTTAATGTGAAAAAATATTAACTTTATTTTATCCCGAAAACCCCTTTACTCTTCAGGGGTGCGGGATTGGAGGCTGTCATGAAGAAATTTAATGTAGTGCATTCCTGATTCTAGGTCCTTCCTCTAATAAACCTTTCGATTTTTTTTGCAAAAAAATTGCTTTCTAGACTCCTCCAGAAATTAAACTGTCTCCCCGAATACGAAATTGAACAACAGTACCACTAATATTTAAGAAAATTGCATATAAATCTGTCCGTGGTCTCTTGCATACCTTTGCTCTTGTCGGACCATTGCAGTTTTTATCAAGTACATGTACATCTTATGGTAAATTTTGTATTGAGTGTTTTAAGCAATAGATTCATGTTCCATTATCTGTTTGAATATGAAACAAACGTTGATAGCTACAATTATTGATATTTTAAAATAATTGTTAAGACATTCCTACACTCTGTCGTTTTCACTCATTTTTCAAAATAAAGAGTGATCTTTGAGTACCAAGCTTTTTTACCGTCAAACGCTTCTTAGAAATATTGTAAACTACTCCCGATATAATGTCTATTAAATTTGCTATTTGTCTCAAAGTCAGTCATACATCATCAGATATTATTTGTTGAAATTGGGCAAATAGTACATAAGTTGTTATAATGTTTGTTGGCAAGGACGGTACCCATTTTTGATGCACATTATAAAATTTTTTATCATTGAAATCCACTTGGTTATCTGTCTATAAAACAGGAAATGGTTGATGTATATGTCACATATTTCAATGAAAATTTCTATGGGATTTTAACAAGCTTTACAGCAGCTTTAATGGAGGTTTTATTTTCACTCTAGTTTACTGATTCTTTACCATTCATTTATAATGCAGTGTCTCGAATAGCCCTTGTTTCCCAGCTTCTCACGATGAAACTGTGTGATGAAAAGTGGTCACATTATATAAATGGTGCCTGTTTTGGAGGGTAACATTTGAAATTTACACCCCAAGGAAAACCATTGTCAACCGACGCGTCAGCGGAGGTTGACAATGGTTTTCCGAGGGGTGTCAATTTCAAATGTTACCCTCCAAAACAGGCACCATTTATTTTATTATACTGAATGTCTTATTGATTTAGGACGTCAGCAAAAAAAAACCGTCGATCGTCTTTAAGTTCATGTATAGAAAGCTTTCACACTCACCGGTTCACTAATCTCCTAAATTGTTTGTTTGATACTCGAATTAGAGTCATTTATCATATAAAGTTTCGTTTTTTCTGGCTTGCAAGCTTGTTTCCTACACTCGCAAGTATGTATCATCTGTCGTTTGTTGTTTTCAAGTAAGCAATATCGGACGCAAGGTTTATTGACGTCAAGTTAATTCCGGTTCTTTCAAACGCGCAACTGACGTTTTGAGAATTCTACGGTGAACCGTACGCGCATAAATTCCACGCATGTGGCATTACCGTTGTGTTACCCGTTGTCACGTGTGTTGCTAAGGCTCAGGGTAATCGAACGGATTGTTAACTGCGTCTAAACCAATCAGATTTTAGTATTTAACATGAAAGTATAATAAGAACAATTATCAATTCATTAAAGTTTCAATAATGAGAGAAAGTCTAGCTTAATGTCATATGATTTCTATGAGCTTATGACATTATTTATTGAACGTCCCTCGTATCCTTAGGTAAAGGGGATTCAAGTTTGTTCAAATGTAAGGCCACACCCTCTTAAACATCTTCTCCAGAACCGCTGGGGCAAGAAAGATGAAACTCACGTGGAAGCATCCCCAGGTAGAGTAGTTTCAAATTTGTTCAAATCATGAACCCCGGGGGTAGGGCGGGACCACAATGCCTGATCAAAGTTTTACATAAGAATATATAGGAAAAGATTTTCAATATACCTCTTCTCAAGAACAACTTGGTCAAGAAAGATGAAACTCATGTGGGAGCATCCCCACGTAGTGTAGATTTAAGTTTGTTCAAATCATGACCCCAGGGGTAAGGTGGGGCCATAATGGGGGTCAAAATTTAACAAAGGCATACATAGGGAAAATCTT